TAGAAGAGGAGGGAATACTTCCAATCTCATTCTATGAGGCCAGCATCACTCTAAAACAAAAATGAGGCAAAGACACCACAATAAAATAAAATTACAGACTAATATCCCTGATGAACATACATGTAAAAATATTCAACAAAATATTAGCAAACCAAATTCAATAACATTTCAGAAAGATCATCTATCATGATCAGGTAGGACTTACTCCAGGGATGCAAGGATGGTATGATATTAGAAAATCCATCAACATCATTCACCACATCAACAAAAAGGTCAAAAACCAAATGATCATCTCCATAGATGCAGAAAAAGCATTCGACAAAATTCAACATCGATTCATAATAATAACTCTCAACAAAATGGGTATAGAGGGCAAGGGCCTCAACATAATAAAGGCCATATTTGACAAACCCACAGCCAACATCACACTTAACAGCAAGAAGCTGAAAGCTTTTCCTTTAAGATTGGGAACAAAACAAGGATGCCCACTCTCCCCACTTTTATTCAACATAGTACACTGGAGGTCCTAGCCACAGCAATCAGATAACACAAAGAAATAAAAGGCATCCAGATTGGTAAAGAGGAAGTTAAACTGTCCCTGTTTGCAGATGACATGACATTGTACATAAAAAACCCTAAAGAATCCACTCCATAACTACTAGAACTAATATCTGAATTCAGCAAAGTTGCAGGATACAAATTTAACACACAGAAATCTGTGGCATTCCTATACACTAACGATGAACTAGCAGAAAGAGAAATCAGGAAAACAATTCCATTCACAATTGCATCAAAAAGAATAAAATACCTACGAATAAACCTAACCAAAGAAGTGAAAGACCTACACTCTGAAAACTACAAGGCACTCATGAGAAAAATTTAAGAAGATACCAATAAATGGAAACACATCCCATGTTCATGGATAGGAAGAATTAATATTGTCAAAATAGCCATCCTGCCAAAAGCAATCTACAGATTCAATGCAATCCCTATCAAAATACCAACATCATTCTTCAACTAGAGCAAATAGTTCTAAAATTCATATGGAACCACAAAAGATGCTAGGTAGCCAAAGCAATCCTGAGAAGGAAGAATAAAGTGGAGGGGATTATGTTCCCCAACTTCAAGCTCTACTACAAAGTCACAGTACTCAAGACAATTTGGTACTGGCATAAGAACAGACCCATAGACCAATGGAACAGACTAGAGAGCCCAGATATAAACCCAAACATATATGGTCAATTAATATACAATAAAGGAGCCATGGACTTACAATGGGGAAATGACAGCCTCTTCAACAGCTGGTGTTGGTAAAACTGGACAGCTACATGCAAGAGAATGAAACTGGATTACTGTCTAACCCCATACACAAAAGTAAACTCAAAATGGATCAAAGACCTGAATGTAAGTCATGAAACCATAAAACTTAGAAGACAACACAGGCAAAAATCTCTTGAGCATAAATATGAGCAACTTTTTCCTGAACACATCTCCTTGGGCAAGGGAAACAAAAGCAAAAATGAACAAACGGAACTACATCAAACTCAAAAGCTTCTGTACATCAGCAGAACAAAAAAGCATGCTACAGACAGTATAGGAGAGTATATTTGTAAATGGCATATCTGACACTGGGGTTAACATCCAAAATATATAAAGAACTCACATGCCTCAACACCCAAAAAGCAAATAACCTGATTTAAAAATGGGCTGAGGATGTGAACAGACACTTCTCCAAAGAAATTCAGATGGCCAACAGGCACATGAAAAGATGCTCCACATCGTTAAGTACCAGGGAAATGCAAATTAAAACCACAGTGAGATATCACCTCACACCAGTTAGGATGGCCAGCATCAAAAAGATTAAGAACAACAAATGCTGGTGAGGATGAGGAGAAAGGGGAACCCTCCTACACTGCTGGTGGGAATGTAAACTAGTTCAACCATTGTGGAAAGCAATATGGAGGTACCTCAAAAAACTCAAAATAGAAATACCATTTGACCCAGGAATTCCACTCCTAGGAATTTACCCAAATACAAGTTCTCAGATTCAAAAAGACATACTCACCCCTATGTTCACTGCAGCACTTTTTACAATAGTCAAAATATGGAAACAGCCTAAGTGTCCATCAGTAGATGAATGGATAAAGAAGATGTGGTACATATACACAATGAAATACTATTCAGCCATAAAAGAAACAAATCCTACCATTTGCAATAACTAGAGGGTATTATATTCAGTGAAATAAGCCAGGCAGAGAAAAGACAAGTACCAAATGATTTTCCTCATTTGTGGAGTATAACAACTGAAGCAAAACTGAAGGAACAAATCAGCAGGATACTCCAGACTCCAAGAAGGGACTAGCAGTTACCGAAGGGGAGGGATTGGGAAGGGCAGGTAGGCAGGGAAGAAGAAGGGGACTGATACGTATTTTGATTAGTACACATGGTGTGGGGGGGGATCATGGGGAAGACAGTGTAGCACAGAGAAGAAGAGTAGTGACTCTGTGGCATCTTACTACACTGATGTATGGTGACTACAATGGGGTATGCAGGGGACTCGATAATATGGGCAAATGTAGTAACTACATGTTTTTCATGTGAAACCTTCATAAGAGTGTATATCAGTAATACCTTAATTTTAAAAATTGTATAAAAAAATAATAAATATGAGCATAGGAAAATCCTACAAGGATATACATAAAATGCTAATAGTGGTTATCTTGGTACTAGGAACACAATTTTTCTTTTTGCTCACCTGCTTTTTCCAAAGTTTTCTACCAACATCATGTATTGGGGTATATTTCTATTTTTTTTAATGCCAAGATCTGTTAAAATACAATGAAAATCAAGATACTGTTCACAGGTAATAATCCTCTACAGGAAACACTTCTTTTGGAGGTGAGAGCTAACAAAGCATTAGCTGGTATGTGCTTGTCTTTTTAGTGAAGAATTTCTGACTTACCCCTTCTTCACTCTGCCATCAGGGAGTGCAGAGCCAAAATTTATGTTCAATCATTCCATTAGGTCATATTCTCAGCATATTTCTAGTTTCATTTCTTCAGTCTTCACTTTCTACTCTAATACATATGCCTCATCCTCATTTTGTATTTCTCACTTATATTTTGGTACTTTTCCCAAAGTGTGTCATAAATTCATTGTCTACAAATCCATTGGAGAATGAGGCCTGGTATACATACACACATAAAAACAGCTGATGACTTTAAGGATTGCTATTGTCAGTGCACTCCATGCTTTGTCCCTGCATTTCACATAATTCTTGGTTAGGACATTAAATGATAAAATTACAACCTTTGAAATATGAGACTTTTTTTAAAAAATGTAAAACTGCAACATCTTCCTATGATAACAGAAGAAAATAATAATATAATTTTTAAAGTCCTAGAAATCCCATAATTAAAAAGCCAGTTTTATTAATGCTCAATTCTCAAAATTATATATATATCTTTTTATTATAAAAAAAAAATCTGTCTCCATCTCACCCTTCCTCACCCACCCCTCCAAACTGGGTATTGACCAAGTAAAGCAAGCCCAACAAAGTCCACCATACACCCAAAAGCAGGGAATCCAGGTGGCCCCCAGGGGACAAGATATGCTGGTGTCATCACTGCAGAGTCCTCCTGGGAACAGCTATCATAACAAATAGGAAGGAAACTGGAATAGGCAGACTGACAAAAGACATGTGTAATTTATATCAGTTTACAATACTTTAGGTGCCAATAAACTCCAAGAGAACATACAAACTAAGTATACAAAGGAAGGTCTCTGCCAGGGCTTCCTCTCCCTGTGTCAGGTCCTCCTATCAGGAATCATTAGGAAGCCCAAACAACTTCACAGTTCCAGCTTCCCGACTGCTGTCATATTTGCCATCTTTGTCATCACAGGCAAATGCCAGCAGAGGCCTTTTGGGGTGCCAGGCCACAGTAAAGGTCGGGGACTCACACTGTACCTCCCATAGTTTGTCTCCTATAAAAATCAATATAGAGAAACCAATCAATACATGAATAATAAGAGACCACATTCGTTAAATACTTACCTACATTAACTCATTTAATTCACTTATTAACCCTAAGAGATAGGTAGGATCAACATGAAGGCGCAGAAAGGTCACAAGCCAGTAGGTGGCAGAGCAAGATCGAAAGGTGCTGTTAACTGAAGAGTTCATATGCTCTGAACCCTTAATTCTATACTCTCTGGAAGGCCAGTAATAGCACTTACTATTTGTTGAGTACCCACATGAATCAGATGGATTACACTTCAATTTAATAAAGCATAATAACAACCCAGAGAGGCATATAATGATTTTAAACCCCATTTTACAAAAACCCTATTTTAACTTAACAGGGAAGTCACACCACAAGGAAACAGCAGTTTGCACATGAAGTCAGTCTGTTTCCAAATCCACAGATCTTTCTACTAAACCAAAATGCTTGTAAATAATTTTTTCCAGAAATTTTATTCCTCCTGAAATTAAACATGACTTTTCCAAAGCCATGGTTCCTTTAGTCCTGCTTAACTTTTTTTCAACCTCAGCATTAAGATTAACGTAATAAAACATTCACGGTATAATGCTAACTTAAAGATGCAAGATACATTGAATTACTTGCCTTAAACTGGTCAACTATCTGGTACATGAATTATATTTCAATAAAGCTATATAAATATACATATTTATATACATATGTGTATATATACAGAGAGATTTTTTTTTTAAGTAATTCTATGTCAGGGACAGTTAACCACTCTTTGTGATGCTAGAATCCAGCAGTCTATAGCTACACATCTGGGCAAATTTCTGCATTACACAGACATAAAGAATGGCTTCATTTTTTCTTTAGGTCCTTAACTCTTAGTCACTTGTCACAGGACTGTTTAAGATAAAGAAACTTATAAAGTTCAAGAGAACCAGTTATGTCCCAGATAACCATGTGGCTTCACAAACGTTAACCTCTTGATAGTTTACTGGAAAGTTTAATATTTGAATGATAAATATAAGGTGCTGATTGTGAGACTGATATTACTACTCCAGATCATCAAAGTCTAACAAACTGATACAATGTGCATGATGTATCTGAAAAGCTGAAAACAAGTGGACTGGGTTAAAATGAGGTTCTATGATATATGCTGTTAGATAAAATTAATTCTTACTTTGTTTGACATTTAACCATTAAAATATCCAGGATACAAATTGTATCTAACATAGGATTCCAACAACATAAAAAATATATATATTTAAGAGGGGGAAAAGAAACATACTGAAGTATTATCAACATTTATCTTTAAATTATGGACCTTTGTGTGACTGTTAATTTCTTCTTTATACCTGTCAGCATTTTACAAATATTCTGTAATGAGATATTATTCATATTTTGCAAACGAATATATGAAGACATGCTTACTGCATAAAATTCAAATAATACATGGGTACAGAGCAGCACCGTGCAGTAGAAACTTCTGCAATGGAAAACCTCTCTATGTGCCCTGCCCAGCACAGAAGCCACTAACCACATGTGGACACTGAGTCCTTGAAATGTGCCTGAGGTGACTGAGGAACTGAATTTTTTATGTTAATTATTTCAGTAATTAAAAATTAAATTATAATTTAAATTGAAACTGATCCTTTTCCCTGCTGCAGGGGAATATTCTTTTTCCCTTCCTCTCCCAATCTTATAAGTCTGATATAAATTATTTCAACATTTTTTCTTCCCATTTAGCTTTAATTTTTTTACCTAACTGGGAACACATCACATGTACTGACTGGCTACTGGCTTTGCTAATTCAGTAATAATGCCTCTCATCTCAGCACATATAGAGCCATGTCTTTCTCTTAGCACCTGATAATATGGATATATCACAGTTTAATTAGGCCATCATAATGAAAATTTAAACTGTTTCCCATCTATGCATTAAGCAATGATGTAAATAATATCTTGTGTTTTACTTTGATAATCACCTTGCTTTTCATTTTTAACCTTGGTTATAGAGAAAATGAGAGAAAAATAACACAACATGTTGAAAGTATTTATCTGAACTATTTAGAAAAAGTAATAAAGCCATATTTGATATATTTCTGAAAGATTATATGTGAATTAAATCATATTTTATATGTATTAGGTAAGGCAGATAATTAAAAGAAACTTGCACAAAAATGACATGGGAAAAACATGCACATGCATGTCTTGCTGCTCAGAGCCAACAGTGCAATAACTCGGGAGGCAGGGCCTGGCCCTTTACAGAGTGCACCCTGGACCCAGCAATTCTACTCTAATGATTTACCCAAAAGGATGACCATATAAGTAAAATGAAGTACAAAGGGAAAGCTTGTCACAGCATTACATATAATAGTGCAAAGATCAAAAGCCACTTAACAGTTGGGCAGCTTAAGTATACAATGGCATGTAGTTAAATATATCCTGGCATATTTAATGGCATTCCAAGCCCCACTTAAAGTAGCAGTAAAACTCAGAAGCCACCACCAAGTAAGAAGCGGTAACATCCTGCAGGTGAGGAGGGCGGGCCCCAGAGGAGCAGCAAGCATCCCTCCATCTCATGGACTATGCTACATAACAGAGCTGTGTGTCTGCAGGGCTGCACAATGCTCACCACAACATTACCAAGAGCAGCATTCTTTAAATCATGGAATTTCAAGATGTTACTTTCTTCTTTGAAGTTTTCTATATAGTTTGAATTCTTTCATTAAAGTATCATGTATTTCCACAAGCAATAAAGCTACATTAAAAAAATCTGAGGAAATTCTTTTGTAAATGAGTACTGTCCTCCAATTTTTCTATTTTCAAGTTCTGTTTTGTTTTTAAAGCAAATCACATCTATTTTGATAATTCCTTAAGTCATAGAAAAGAAATATGTATTTTTTTTAAGTTCACATACAGGTAAAAGAAATAAATATGCCACAACACTAAAAGAGATTGTATTTAGATGGTGGGGTGACATATTTAGATAGGGACACTTTTTTCTTCCTCCTACTTCCTATACTTCAAAATTTTCATTACAATGGAAGAATTAAAAGTTAATAAAATGCAAAATATTTCCCTAAATCACTTTCTTTCAGGCTTGCCCTGTCTATTCTATCTCTTTGCTCACTCATTACCTGGCAGTTTCAGTCACAACATAAACAATATTGTCTTGAGACAAATTCATTCATGCTAATGCTGGTGAAGTAGTAATGTGCAGAAATAAAAATATATGACATTCAAGAAGTTCTGATGGCCTAGAACGAAAGATGCAAGATTTTTGTTAAGTAGCAAGGGCTTTAGTTACCTGTCTCTACTTCAGCAATGTCAATAAAATGATCTTCCGATGCTGATGCCAGCATTTTCCCATCATGGCTAAAACTAAGGGTCCTCACAGGCCAATCCAGCCTGTAACAGAGTATACAGGGATGACAATGGAATAACACAGTAGGAGAAGGGCACAATTTCACCCAACTGAAATAAAATTATTTTATCCAACAAGGTAAGTGCTGACAGAGTTGCTTACCTGGAAAAGCACCGAACACACACTAACTCATCCACATCCCAGAGGCTGACCAAAGCATCTGCACTTCCTGTGGCAAAGTACTTCCCCATGGGGTCAAACTTGATACAGATGCAGTTGGAAGGATGGGCATTGATAGACTGCACAGGCTTCAGCTCTGGGTAGCTGAAAACAAGACAGACAGCAATCAAACCGTGGAAGAGGACTATGGTACTAAGACTACAATAGGAGACACTCACTGAAAAAGAAAACCAAAGACAAAGAGCAAATATCAAAGACTGTAATTCAAGAAAACTTTTCTGAAATAAAAAAAGATTTCAAACAACCTATTGAAACAGCAACACTGTATACCTAAGAGTATAAACATAGACTAACCAACATGAAGACATATGGTAAAATACAGTTGACCCTTGAACAATACAGGTTTGAATTGTGTGGATGCACTTATACATGGATTTTTTTTCAATAAATATATTGGAAAATGTTTTGGAGATTTGTGGCAATTTGAGAAAATTTATTTTCTGTAGCTTACTTCCTTGTAAGAGTATAGTATATAATACATATAACATACAAAATATGTGTTAATCAACTCTTTATGCTACCAGTAAGGCTTCTGATTAACAAAAACTTAGTTAAGTTTCTGGAGAATCAGAAGTTCTGTGTAGATTTTCAATGGTGCAGGGCGGTCAGCACCCCTAACCTATGCCAAGCATAGAATTCCCATGTTGTTCAAGTGTCAACTATACTGGACTTTAAAGAAAAAGAAAATTAGAGTATCATCAGACTTTTTGATAATACTTTATGCCAAAAGAAAATGGAGTAACATATTTAAGATACACCAGAAAATATGAATCAAGGATTTTTATATCTTATAAAACTAACAATGAATTACAAAGAGCTCAAATAATAAGCATAATATAATAAAGTATCTGTAAGTTTTGTAAGTGTATAAGTTACAGTAACTATGAGCTCATGGAATATTATTCCCATGAATTCTCTAAATCAAAAAATGAACTTTAACAATGAAAATGACTAGATTATCAGCATAGGACTGGTGATGAGCATTACATGTTTGAAGGGGAGGTATAATATGTAATAGCTATATACTCTGACAATATATGTAGTATTAACTATTTTTTTAAATGTAGGAAGAATGAGGAAACCACATGCAAGAAACAAAATTTATTATTCTAAGTAATCACATTGGTGGAAGTGATGGTAATGTTATTCTGAGATAATCTGTACGTGTAACATGGGATAAAGGTAGTAAGTAACCATGGGATATTTTAATTCTGTAATCCCTGCATCTTTGAAAACCAGAATACTCAGTTTGGAAGGAAAGAGATATATTTGTAATATAGAAGAGTTTTAGTAATGTTCCTCTAGTCCAGAATTTTAACTGGAAGCTATCAACCTGAATTTACAAGACATTTTATCTTTAAAAATACATATACTCCCTAACTCTGTCCACAGGAAAGGTCTAGAAACAATGACCAACCCAGAAATGTGGATATTTCGAGCTCCAATATTATTTCCCAGTAAAAGAATCTAGGAATTTTTAGAATTCTCTGATTAAATGTCACAGACAGGAAACATACAAGATGAATTTGGAACATCTCATCCCACAAGGGAGAAAGAAACTTAAGACAACAGGATTATGTCAAAAAAAAAAAAAAGATTCAGTAATCAAATGAAGAGGATGTGAACTTCAATAAGGATAATAATCACAATAGATCAACACACATACCAGGTTTAAATATATGAGTCTAAATATATGACTTAAAAAAAAAAGAAAACTGCTCATCTTTGGAGATGATAAGGGACTAATGCATTATCTGATGACAAAGAGGATCAAAAATTTATCCTGCCCTTTAAAAATGAAATACATTCCTGGATAACCAAATAGTAGATGAGAGGAAGTGTCTCTTATTTTCTGACAAATAAATAAGCATATAGAATAAGCAAAATCCAGAATGGAAGAATCTTAGTTTCTGATTTTTTAACAACTAAGTTGTAAGTAAAAGTAAGGGATGAAGAAGTACACTGTAGTTTAAAAGACTGAAAAGATACATAAAAAATTTTTTAAATGAACAAAAAACTAAAGCATCTAGAGATGCACAATTCATAGCTAAAACTATAAAGAAATACTGTAAAAACCAAGATAATGTTTACATTTGAAGGGAAGGAGTTATGATTAGGACAAAGCACATGGATAGACTTCTGGGGTGGCCAGCAAAGTACTATTTTCTGGACCTGGGTGGGGTTACACAGGTGGTAAGCATATAATAGTTCATTAAGCTATACATTTGTTTTCTGTGGTTTTCTATCTCTCTGTTTTATTTTCTAATAAAAAGGCCTTTAAAAAAAAAAGTTGCAGAATCCTCACTGCCTCCAGAATAAAATTCAAGTTGTTAAGCACAGAATTCCAGGTCTTTTATAATCTGGTCTCAAATTATATTTCAACTTTATATATATCTCCCTATTTCCAGGCCCTCTCTTCAGATACCTTATCAGCCACAGCTCCCAGCAACCCTGACATACCAGTCTTCAAACAAGCCATGTTCATTCACATCTGTTTTGTCTGTTGCATGGTTCCCTCTAGCTGATACTTAAAATTCTACTCATCTTTCAAGGTCGAGCTCAGAAGCTGCTTCCTTCAATCCCCAACTCCCACATCAATGTAAATTAGGACTCCACAGCAAACTCTCAGCCTCTCTAATGCAGAACTACTTCACTCTGCCTTGCATTGCTCACCCAGGACAGCAGAAAGAATAGAATCGGAAAGACCCAAATTTCAACTTCACAATTTCATTCATTTAGAGAACAAATATTTACTGAGATCCTAACTTTGTATAGCAGGTACTGGGCTAGGCACTAGAAATTCAACAGTAAACAAATTAGACACAGTCCCTACCCTCATGGAATTTACAGTTTAATGGAAGATATGGACAAACATGTAATAAACAAGCAATTACAATATAGAATAAGAAATGTTTCCAACAGGAAGTACATAAAATAAGCTTTGGGGTGACGGGTGAGGAGTAATGAAGATCACTTCCCTGGAGGGAAAAATGATACTTAAGCTGAGATGTTAAGAGTATGAATTAGCCATAATTCAAGATGCATCCAGTTCTCGTATTCATTAGCTAACTAGTGAGTGACTTAAGCTCTCTGAATCCCAGATCCTCATCTGTCAAATGGGAAGCATAACATTACATAATGAAAAAGGGATCAGTCCAACAAGAGGATATAACCATTATAAATATCAACACAGGAGCACCTAAATATGTAAAACAAATACTAACAGAATTAAAGGGAGAAATGGATTGCAACATCTTCATTTTAGGAGACTTTAAAACACCACTCACATCAATATACAAATCAACCAGACAGAAAATAAAGAAACAGAGGCAATGAACACTACATTAGATCAGATGGACTTAACAGATAATCTACAGATTATTCCACCCAAAAGCAGCAGGATACATATTTTTCTCAAGTCTACATGGAATGTTCCCCAGTAAAGATCACATACTAGGCCACAAAAAGAGCCTCAGTAAATTCAAAAAGACTGAAATTCTATCAAGCAGCTTCTCAGACCACAGTGGTATGGAACTAGAAATAAACTACACAAAAAAAAACAAAAAAGCCTACAAACACATGGAGGCTAAATGACATGCTTCTAAATAATCAATGGATCAATGAACAAATTAAAACAGAAATCAAAGAATACATAGAAACAAATGAAAATAAAAATTCAACATCCCAAAATCTGTGGGATGCTGCAAAGGCAGTTCGAAGAGGGAAGTACATAGCAATACAGGCCTACCTCAAGAAATAAGAACAATCCCAAATAAACAGTCTAAACTCACAATTAAAGATACTAGAAAAAGAAGAACAACTGAAGTCCAAAGTTAGTAGAAGGAGGAACATAATAAAGATCAGAACAGAAATAAATAAAATAAGAGAAGAATGAGAAGAAAATCAATGAAACCAGGAGCTGCTTAAAAAAATAGAACAGATAAACCCCTAGCCAGACTTAACAAGAATAAAAGAGAGTACCACACAAACAAAATCAGAAATGAAGAAGGAATAGTCACAATGGATACCACAGAAATACAAATAATTATTAGAGACTACTATGAAAAATTATATGCCAATAAATTGGACAATAAAATTCAAGAAGAAATGGGCAACTTCCTATAAAAATATGACCTTTCAAGATTGACCCAGGAAGTAACAGAAAACCTGAAAATACGAATTAACTAGCAATGAAATCGAACTGGTAATCAAAAAACTCCCAAAAAACAAAATTCCAGGTCCAGATGGCTTCATAGCTAAATTAGTTAATACCCATCCTTCTTAAAGTATTCCAAAAAATAGAAGAAAGAATACTTCCAAACTCATTCTATAAGGCCAGCATTACCCCAATACCAAAACCAGATAAAGACACCACAAAAAAAGAAAATTACAGACCAATACCCCTGATGAACACAGACGCAAAAATCCTCAATATTAGCAAACCAAATTCAAAAATACATTGAAAAGATCATCCATTATGACCAACTGTGATTTATTCTAGAGATGCAAGGATAGTACAGTTTCATAAATCCATCAACATCATCCACCACATTAACAAAAAGAAAGATAAAAACTACATGATCATCTCAGCAGATACTGAAAAAGCATTTGACAAAATTCAACATCCAATTCATGGTAAAAACTCTCAACAAAATGGGTTTAAAGGGTACACACCCAAACATAATAAAAAAACCCACAGCCAACACCATACTTAATAGCAAAAAGCTGAAAGCTTTTCCTGTAATATCGGGAACAAGACAAGGATGCCCACTCTCACCACTTTTATTCAACACAGTTCTGGAGGTCCTAGCCATGGCAATCAGACAAAACAAAGAGATAAAAGACATCCAAATTGGTAAGGAAGAAGTTAAACTGTTACTATTTGCAGATGACATGATAATACTATACATAGAAAACCCTAAAGACTCCACAAAAAAACTATTAGAATAACTGGGTTCAGCAAAGTTGCAGGTTACAAAATTAACACACAGAAATCTGTTGCATTCCTATACATTAACAACAAACTAGCAGAAAGAAAAATTAGGAAAGCAACTCCATTTATGACTGCATCAGAAAGAATAAAATACCTAGGAATTAACCTAACCAAGGAGGTGAAAGACCTGTACTCTGAAAACTGTAAGACACTCATGAGAGAAATTAAAGAAGACACCCATAAATGGAATATATCCCATGCTCATGGATAGGAAGAATTAATATTGTCAAAATGGCCATCCTGCCCAAAGAAATTTACAGATTCAATGCAATCCCTATCAAAATACCAACAGCATTCTTCAACAAACTGGAACAAATAGTTCTAAAATTCATACGGAGCCACAAAAGACCCCAAATAGCCAAAGCAATCCTGTAAAAGAACAAAGCTGGGGGATTACCTGACTTCAAGCTCTACTACAAAGCTACATAATCAAAACAGTTTGGTACTGGCACAAGAACAGATCCATAGATCAATGGAACAGAATAGAGAACCCAGATATAAACCCATGCACAAATGGTCAATTGATATACAATGAAGGAGCCATGAATATGCCATGAAGACAGCCTCTTCAAAAACTGGTGTTGGCAAAACAGGACAGCTACATGTAAGAGAATGAAACTGGATTATTGTCTAACCCCATACACAAAGTAAACTCGAAATGAATCAAAGACCTGAATGTAAGTCTTGAAACCATAAAACTCTTAGAAGATAACATAGCCAAAAATCTCTTGAACATAAGTATGAGCAATTTTTTCCTGGATACATCTCCTCAGCCAAGGAACACAAAATCAAAGTTGAACAAGTGGGACTATATCAAACTAAAAACCTTCTATACAACAAAGAACACCATGAGCAGAACCAAAAGGCACCCTATATGAGAGAATATATTCATAAATGACTCATCTGATAAGAGGTTAACATCCAAAATATATAAAGAACTAATATACCAGAACACCCAAAAAAAACAAATAACCCAATTAAAAAATGGGTGGAGAAGCTGAACAGACATTCTCCAAAGAAGAAATACAAATGGCCAACAGGCACAGGAAAAGTGGCACCACATCACTAATCATCGGGGAAATGCAAATTAAAACCACAATGAGATATCACCTCACACCAGTTAGGATGGCCACTATCCAAAGGCAAGAAATAACAAATGTTGGGGAGGATGTGGAGAAATGGAAACCCTCCTACACTGTTGGTAGGAATGTAAATTGGTACAATGGCTGTGGAAAGCAGTATGCAGGTTCCTCAGAAAACTAAAAATAGAAATGCCATTTGATCCAGTAATTCCACTTCTAGGAATTTACCGAATAAAATAAAATTCCTGATTCAAAAAGATATATGCACCCCTATGTTTAACACTGCAATATTTGTAATAGTCAAGATATGGAATCAACCTAAGTGTCCATCAGTAGATGAATGAATAAGATGTGGTACATATACACAATGGAATATTGTTCAGCCATAAAAATAAAATAAATCCTGCTATTTGCAACAACATGAATGGAACTAGCCAAGTGGAGAAAGACAAATACCATGTGATTTCACTTTTATGTGGAATATAAAAACAAAGCAAAACAGAACAAACTAAACAGCAGTAGACTCAGGCACTGAGAACTGACTAGTGGCAACTTGGGGGGAAGGAGGATAAAAGGGCACAATAATTAGAAATTTCAATATAAGTTGGTCATGGGGACAGGAGCACAGCAGAGAGAAAATAGTCAATGATTCCATAACATCTTTCTACCTTGATAGATAGTAACTGCACAAGAGGGAGTGAAGATTTTATAATGTGTGTAACTGTTGAACCACTGTGTTGTACATCTGAAACCAATATAAGATTGTATATCAACGATACTTCAATAAAAATTTTTTTAAAAAGGGAAGCATACCACCAATCCTCCAAATTTCTGTGAGGACTCAGTAAACTACACGGTGCCTAGAGCAAATGTGCTCAACAGAGGTTAGGATTCTTTATTATTATTTGTCCTTTAAGCTCTTCATGACAGAGTTACATCTAATTCATCTCTATATATATCACAGTAACCAGTGCAAAGACATAACAGTCCCCTAAGCTACAAACCCTCACCTGAGGATGTTGATACAACCGTTGCCATTTGTCAGGAAGAACATGTTATTGTCATTGTTCCAGGAGATTTCATTGACCTCAAACTTGAATTGCTCCTCTGCTTTGGAACGGTGTGTCTTGGCATCGATAAAGGTCACCACATCATCCTTGTTGCCTACAGCAATGGTCTGCCCATCAGGACTCCAGCAGATATTAATGTTCTCTCCTGGGAACCCAGATATAAACAGCAAGATACTGTTTGCCCACAATCCTCCAGAAGTTTGTTAACCTAGAAAGACCAGAGCTATCTCCAGAGCTCATTCACTAAGGTCCTTGTCAATGGAAGGAAAGTACCACTTAAAAATCATCAACTTTGAGTCCAGCATGTTTATAGTCCTCAAGATCCTTCTCTAAGGGACCCTTTATTCCCCATTTTACAGATGAAGAAATGGAAGGTAAGAGAGATAAGCCAAAATGTCAGAGCAATGAAGTAATAGAGCCAATATCTAAACCCAGATTTGACTCCAAAGCCTTTCATTCCCTTCTACACCAGTATTTCTCAAACTCATCAATCACATGCCACTTTCACAATTTTTGTCCTATCAGTGTAACTGCTATACTTTCTTTAAGACTTTTCTTAAAATTGACTCAAAAAAGTTTTACTTAAATAAATTCGGCTTCAATTTACCAATAAATTCTCTAGGCTAGTTATTTTTTTTGTAGTAAGCCTTAAAATATGTAAACAACCAGAGTTTTTAATGTTCATCCACATATCACCCAATCACTCATGTATGATCAGTCGTCTACTTGGGGAAAAGCACTACATTATTCCACTTCCAGGTACAAGTCTTGTCAACAAAGTCCAGTGGCCCACAATGAACACATCAATCAAAAATTTCATCAACTTGACTGATTCTAAGATGCATATTTTTCCATTTTATTAGCTATAATGTATCTTAAAATGCATCAGGATGCATCTCATAACTGTTGGTGTAACATGCTTATTTGGAAGCTTTATTTTCTTTCCTAATAGTACATAAAATATTGGTGCATCTTATAATCAATGACATCTTAGTCAAATATAATAAAGGCTTCAAAGTTTATATGACAATAACCTGGTAAAGAACAGATCTATAAATGTACTGCACAAGTTCAAGGTCATTTTGTCCCAGAACACCAAGACCATTCATTCCAAGATCAGCCATTCTAGCCTATCAGCAGTTTCCAAAATTCTCCACCATGCCTTTGTATATGTTCTTCCCTCTTACAGTACCACCACCTGCCCCACCCACTTACTTCACCCTGACCAGTATATCCCTATTGCTATTCTAAGAGTTTGCTCAAATTCTGTGAGCTCTTCCCTGACTCTCCCAGGCAGACTTAAGCATTGCCAAATGGGCATCTACCTTGTAGAACTCTCCATTATAAGATGAACCATGTCATGTTAGTTTTTTTTACACATATGTTTCTCTCTCGGCACTAAATAACGACGTCCCTGGAGCTGGAAATGTCTTATTCAGCCCAGTATGTCCCAGCTGTAGCACAGGGCCACACATAGAAAAGATATTTAGAAAAAGCTTGTTGATTGACTACAAGCAGCTTATTCTCCAACTGCCCTCTCTCTGAATAGTCACCTTTAGTGTTCACAGTAGCAATGCATTTCGTAGTCCTCACATCCCAGATTCGAATGGTTTTGTCTCCAGATGCGGTGACAAAGAGATCAGGATTACTTGGATGCCAACAAAGCTGGTCCACACTATCCCCATGACCCCGGTAATTATTTTCTTTGACCTGAAAGAACAGAATTCAGATGCCACTTCACACATATGTAGCTGCCTCCACATGTTAACTTCTTAATCTTATTTAAATCAAAGTATCTTGTGACCAACAAAGATGTGGATAATTTAAGAGAATCCAGTCTTCCAAGCACCCTCGCCAAAATTCTTCCCAATATCCTCCTTCCCTTCCTCCCCAACCACCCTGAACTATTGTTCTGAGGCTGGGTTCCACATCAATACCTATACTCTTTTGCCCTCCTTAGCCTTCCTCCTCTTTTCTGGTTTTCCACCCTTACTCTACAGCCAAGATTCCCAATTCTCCTGCTCATTCCCATAGGAGGCCCCGTCATTTTCAAAAGGGCCCTCCTCACCACCACTGGGTCCCCACCATTGCCCGAGTCACTCCTCACCACAAATCCCTTCCTACCACTCTCCCACACCCCCACCACACCGAAGTGCCATTCATCCTCACCACCAGTCTTCAACCTCTCCTCACCTCCACTACCCCTCATCCTCACACCTCCTTCCTAGTTCACACACCCACCTCCCCGTTACCACCACCGTCTTCCTTCTCTCCACCACACCACCTCCACCCTTACTCCCAGGCCTCGTCAACCCACTCCTTTCTCGCGCCACACCCCGACTCATCCCCACACCTCCTTAGCCCTCCCCTCTCCTCGCCTACGCCCCTTTTCACCCCCATTCTCTCCCTCAACACCAAACCTCTCTTTGCCACAGCACCTCTCCCCGGCCTGGGCCAGGCCCTAGAAGCTCACCAACCGGTCCTTTTCCAGCAGGAAAACGCTGGCCGTCTTGTCGAAGGACCCCGAGGCCAGGCGACGCCCGTCGCAACTCCAAGCCACGGAGTGCACCTTGGCGCTGTGCGCGGGGAACTCGCGCGTCTTGCTGTGACCGCGAAACAGCTCCTGCATCCCAAGCACGTAGCGAGTCGGGCCACTGATAACGGAGCACCAGGGAGCCATTGAGCCTGGACCGCTCTGGCCCAGCGCCGAGGGCCCCATTGCCGCCGCGGGGACAGCCATACCGAACTTTGAAACGCCGGCGAGGCCACAGCAGCCTTGGAGCAATCAGTCCTGCCGCTGCGGTCCCACGCTTGCGCCTGGAAGAGCGGCAGCTCCCCTGCGCAGCCGCATTGTGCGCAGTCCCGGAAGTACAGCATATCGCGGCAGGCCGCGCACGCATTTTTTTAATCAAATAGATTTAAATTTCCTTTACTAAGACTGTAGGGTTTTTCGGTCCTTTTTTACCCCTTATCTACTGCATGATAGGTATATTTGTGTCTCTGCTTAATCGAAGAAGGAAACCAACGCTCTCCTTCTAAATATTAGTTCCCCATCTGTAAAATTCCTCTTTTCTAGGGTAGATCCCCACCCGTCAGTCTCTCCCTTGAAAGTATTAGGCCCTCTTATCACCTCACATCAGTGAGGATGGCCAGCATCGAAAAGACCAAGAACAACAAATGCTGGTGAGGATGCAGAGAAAGGGGAACCCTCCTACACTGCTGGTGGGAATATAAACTAGTTCAACTATTGTGGAAAGCAAAATGGAGGTTCCTCAAAAAACTAAAAAAAGAAATACCATTTGACCCAGGAATCCCACTCCTTGGAATTTACCCAAAGAATACAACTTCTCAGATTCAAAAAGACATATGCACCCCTGTTTATTGCAGCACTATTTACAATAGCCAAGATATGGAAGCAACCTAAGTATCCATCAGTAGATGAATGGATAAAGAAGAAGTGGTACAGAAACACAATGGAATACTATTCAGCTGTAAGAAAGAAACAAATTCTACCATTTGCAACAACATGGATGGAGCTGGAGGATATTATGCTCCAGCCAGGTGGAGAAAGATAAGTGCCAAATGATTTCCCATTTGTGGAGTATAACAACAAAGAAAAACTGAAGGAACGAAATAGCAGCCGACTCACCGACTCCAAGAAGGGACCAGCGATAAGGGGAGGGGTGTGGGTGGGAGATGGGGATGAAGGGTATTATGTTTAGTACACATGGTGTGGAGGATCACGGGGAAAACAGTGTAGCACAGAGAAGGCACACAGTGGATCTGTGGCATCTTACTACACTGATGGACAGCGACTGCATTGGGGTATGGGTGGGGACTTGATAATATGGGTAAATGTAGTAACCACATTGTTTTTTCATGTGAAACCTTCATAAGAGTATGTATCAATAATACCTTAATAAAAAAAATTTTTTTAAGTTTTAGGCCCTCTACTTTTTGCTGGAGAAGGACCTGCTGGTGAGCTTGTCTCGGGTAAAAGACTAGGAGTTTGTGGGGTAAGAAGCTGGTACTGAGAAGGGGTCTTGGAATGTTTTTAAATTATACTGTATGTACATGATTACTTATGCAAATATATAAATGATACATAGTAAAAAGTAAATGTCCAATGGTGTCATCCGTGGATTATTCCCCATCCTTTCCACCCCTATTTTAAACCACAAGTTCAGCAGCCAGTGATGAAACTGAATAAGCCAATGGGGTGTACTGCCAGCACCAGCCAAGGCCCTAGAAAAGGGTTGTGGGCTGGGAGAGGGGTTTAGTGGTGAGGCGGTGGCAAATCTTTTTTATAAGGTAACACATGCACTTGGTCACAAATGTAGAAAATAGAAAAGGGAATAGAGTGAAAAGTAAGTTTACCTCTCTTCAGTGTCCCCAAATTCCCTTCCGAAAAGCAGTAGATTTCTTGTGTGGCCTTCCAGAGATAGTTTAAATGTAAATATGGGAGAGGTAGATAGGTGTGTATCAATCCTATTCCCCCCAACCCCCCCGCCAAAAAAAAAAGAAAACCCCGTAGCATTCCTTACATAACTTATTTTCTATAATAAACAAATAAGAAATGGATGCAGTCTTTAATGATATGACTGTACAATAGTTTATTCAGCTGATCCCCTTGATGGATACTTAGTGTCTGTGAATTTGCTTTAAGAACATGTGAAAATTAAAGGGAAACCTCATTGACATGGAGTCAGGAGGCCTGCATGGGGAGCTCTCAACACTAACCATGCCTCCTCAATTGCAAACCCCGCAAAGAAACTGAGTCCTTGCAACTGGTATCACGTGGGCTACTTTTAACACTGTAGAAGGGAAGAGCTTCTGCCTCCCCCAGCAACAGCCCAGCCAATGAGAGATACAACTTAGCCAAAAAGCAGCCGTGACAGGTGGGACTCAGTTTCCTCCAGGGGACTTTTTCGCTGAGTTTAATCCCCCTCAACTCTCTCCCTCTCTGCTATAAAAGGGCATTCCTCGCCTTTGTTCTCCAGACATGCCTGTGGTTTTGCCATAGCTTGCTTGTCCCAGACTGCAGTTCTCTGCTGTTCCCAAAGAAACCCGTTTTGCTTATAAAATAACTGGTAGTTTTAAGCTTAACAAACAATGCTGCAGTGAGCATCCTTATACAAACTTTTGTGCACATATGCACTTATTATTTAAATAAATATTTCCAAAACACCTGTGACAAGATTCCAACAATCTACATTTCTACCACCAGCACAGGGGAGTGTCGTTAGGTCCTAAATACTAAGTGAGCCACATGTAAACGCGTAGCTCTGAGAATGGCCTTAGGAAATGAAATTTCCTACCCTGCTGCAACCAGAAATTCTTGGAGACTTCAAAACTTTTTAGAGTCCAAAGAATACTAATGAAGTTGTTAGGCAGGAAAATAGATAAGAGTTGGGTGGAAAGAGGATAAGGCTAGTAAAGCCCACTAGAAGAGACTCAAAGAGTTAACCAGTTAAAACTAGAAAGCCAGAAAAGACTCAAGCGTTAATGAGTTAGTCAACTAAAGCTCAGAAGGGCAACTTGACCCAGAATGTTGAATACTCCCCAGATAAAGAAAAGTATCTCAGCATAGCCTGTGCTTTCATTGTGTCAATTAGCACATACCATTGTGAGATTTACTTTAGCACCTGCTAAAAGGCCCAGTTTATTCAGGAAGGATTCTTTCTATCTTATAGCAAAAATTGCATTTTAATCAAACAGACAATAACTCAGCCCACTTTGGAGGCAGGGAAGACAGTCTTGATTGATATGCTTCCAGACAGAAACTAATATCCTGGAAAGGAATCAAAGCAGAAAATTTCTTGTGTTAAGTTAAAAGAAACTTAATGTATAAAATATGAACATTTTGGGACCACTTAACAAGTCCACACTCCCCTTTAAGTTTTGCTCCTATAAATCCCCAGACTCTAAACCCTTAAGTGCACACCTCTCTCTGAGGTCGCCGCACTTTCTAAGCATGTAAATTTAATAATTAAACTCTTTCCCAACCTTTCAGGGCGCTCCTCTCTCTGACTTCGCCCACACTTTCTAAGTACATAACCTGTTCCCATTCTTTGAGAGCCTCTTCTCTAAGGTAGCCCACACTCCCCTTTCCCCAGGTCACATGGCTGGTACTGGATGTATTGGACAGACCAAAGATTAGAACTTAGGTGTTACTGTATAAAATCTACACTCTGATTCTTATGTTTCCCCTTCCCCCTTTTTGCTTTAAATAAATTCACTGCTCAATTGATAACGTTTTGTCTCTGTGCTTTTCCAGTGGTAAGTATCTTTGTTACTTTTCTTTATCATTCTAATCCTCCGGATTTAAGCTCAAACCTTCACTCCCTCTGTATTTCAGATAAATAAGGAGGGACTGCAGAGAGATCAGATCTGGGCTTGCAAATGACCGTGGCCTAGTGACCTGGACAGAACTGCAATTTAGGGTCATGCTCTTTAGTAGTCTGCCTGAAAGCTCCTTTCTTTGTCTCTAGGAAGTTCGCAGAACATAATCTCACTCCATACAGTGCTCTGCAGCTCCCCCAAATCCTGGGGCAGTAGGGAAGTTCCCACACTGTGCAGATCCAAGCAGACACTGGACACCAGGTGACACTGGCTTAAGGAGTTAGCAGGGGATGTGCCCCCATGAATAGCAGTTCAATGAACTTCCTTTATTATTCCGATCTGCCATTCTCTGACACTCTCACTTTAATAAAATTTCTTCCTCACCTTGTACTCCGACTTCCCTGCATCTCTGAACTGACTTTCCCCCCAACATCTCCTCCCTGAGGTTGCCCGCACTTTATCTCTTTAAATAACTTTAAATAAAACTTATGCGCTGCTTCACTACTGTGTCTCTGCCCTTCAATTCCTTGCTGCAGTGGGGTCAAGAACTGAGGAAAATACACAATGCTCCCCTAACAAAGTCACTAAAGTTTTGAAGTGGGAAACTATTTGGTCTCTAGTTTTCCCTCCTTAACTTTCATTTTCAGGAATCTTCTTCATATGCCAGCATATTTTTTTTCCTACATACACTGAGAATTTTTATGTTCCAGTCCCAGAAAAGGAAACTGAAAGGCACCAGAACACATGGCTGGTATTAGATATACTGGACAGACCAAAGATTAGAACTTAGGTGTTATTGACCCTAAAATCTACACTCTGATTCTTAGGTTGACTGAAATCCACACAGTCACTGCATTAAGAACAGTAGAGTTTATTCAGAATCTTACTGAGGTCCATGACCCAGGATGACAGTTGATCCGAGAACACTGGCTAGACTGCTCTGTCCCTCTTTGTATGAAGATGGCTTATACAAAGTTCATAGCAGGGAAAAAGTTACACTAATTAGTACATCAAGCAGTGTGTCGAGCATATATTTGGTTTAGTGTCCTAAAAGGTACAGATTGTGCACATTCTGGTGCTTTGTGCAAGAGTTGACAATGATTAGGAATGATAATTTTTTTTAAAGAATTCTATCAAGGATATAAGAACCTGACTCCTTAACAGTTTTGTTTTCTTTGGTCTTCAAGACCTTTTTCTTCTTGTCACTGGGGAAGGGCTGCAGCAGTATTGCCGACACTGACAAGAATGGCTACAAGGCATCTTCACAGCACAGTAAGAGTTGTCCTGGCTGATTTAGGGCCTCTGCTGCTCAAAAAGCTCTGCTTTCCTGGGGGGCCACTATGGAGGACCATAAAAATTTCATTTTTATTTCATACTTAATATTATCTGAAACCTCCATGTTATAAACATAATTCTTTGTATTTCTGTATTAATTTTATGTTTTTGTGTGATATATGTGGTTTTTATTTCATTTTCCCTTGTGCTTTTTCATATTCTGTAAACACAAATGTTTGAACCTCGGTTGTGATAAATGTATCCCACTGCTCTTCACTGAGACAGAGCCTGACATAACTGTTTTGAAGTTGTAATAGTACATGCCTGGGGGCTATGAATCTGAAGTCAGATAATCTCTAAGAGATAAAATTCACAGGATATATAT